TCCACACTTGAAAGAACCCGCTCGAAATTCACATCAAAATCCAGAGTGCAAGTCACAAGGAAGAAAACCTGGGGGTCCTGCAAACTGCTCTGATCGGAATCCGCTCTGCGAGGTTGGCGCCATGAAGTCCCTCACCCGTCACCGACAGCCCACTCCCGAGAAAGCGCTCACCATGGGACGCAAAGGACACACGAATGTCAGCTTGTGATTATCAAAGGGCTGCCCCCCCACCCACCCCCCCACGGGGCTGATGAATAGACCCCGCGGGGCGCGAAATCTTTTTTTTGTTGTATCACGCGCGCCAGGGGGTCGTCGCTGGCGCCGCCGAAGGGATCGTGTACCCCCCTGCAGGACAGCCTCAAAACGACTGCCTTTTTCGTATAGAAGTTGTTATTAGGATCGTATACATCCGAAGCGAATTTCCGTTCCCCCTCTCAGGCGTCGTCGTCGTCGTCGCCGCCGCCGCCGCCGTCGTCGTCGACGTCGTCGTGTTCTTCTTCGTCGTCCTTGTCGTTTTCGTCTTCGTTTCCGTCGTCGTCGTCGTCGCCACCGTCGTCGTCGACTACACCGGGCCTGCGCAGCACACACACACACACACACACAAACACACACACACACACACCCACACACACACACACACACACACACCCATAGGGCATCCGCAATGCGTCGTCGTCGTCGGTCGCCGCCGTCGCCGTCTGCCGTCCGCCGTCCGTCGTCCTCGTCATCGTCCTCGTCCTGTCGTCGTCGTCGTCGACGAAGAGAGCAGACGCTGGAAACGGGCGCAGGCAGGGCGGGGGACGGCGGCGACGACGGCGACAGAGGGGGGGAGGAGGACTACCCGCCTTGCTCGGGTCGGGCGAAAGGCTGGGGAAAGAGAAACAAAGGGGTGGTTGCAAAGCCTGCTGCGCGCAGCTGGTTTCGGTCGCCCAGTCCTCGACGCTTGGCCGCTGTCGGCGCCAGAGGGAGTTTGGAAAATCGGCGACGTGAGCTGCTTGGCAAATCCCCCCTTTGTTGCGCCCAGCTTTCGTCCAGCCCGCCTTGCCCGCAGGCCCGCATCAGCTCGACAGAAAGAGGGGCGCCCTGGCTCGCCCTTGCCTCCAAACACCCCCCCCTTGACCAGCGTTGGCGGCCAGGCGTCGGCGCTAATCACCGGCGCCGCCCCGCTGATTTTCAATCTGGCGGGCGCCACCCCGCGATCCGCCCGAGCAGGGGAACCATGTTTTTAAACACGCGTCCCCCACGGATTTGTCAATCACAAGCTGACATTAATACTATGTGTCCTCCCCAACGGCGTGCGTCCGACCCAAACATATAGTACAACCATCTTGTCGTACATCGCTTCCCGAGCGGCACGGCCAGAGAGCGCCCGCCACGGAGCACATCCGCCGATCCGGCGTGTGCGTTTCTGAGAGCGTAGACTTGAGCTCGCTCAAGCTTCGCTCTGCAGGGGCGGGGGGGGGCACACGTTACTTCCGACGTCATTTCCGACGTTTCTCGGTCCACGGGGACAGGGGGGTATAGAAAACTCCAATCCCGGAGCCCCGACAGCTCGCCTGGGAGCGCCTGGGAGCGCCTGGGAGCGTGCGCCTGGGAGCGCCTGGGAGCGCCTGGGAGCGCCCGGGAGCGCCTGGGAGCGCCTGGGAGCGCCTGGGAGCGCGCCGGGAACGCCTGGGCCTAAGACACACCAACAGGCCCCCAAGAGGGTTCCAAGACGGCCCCAGAAGGGCCCAAGGCGGCCCAGGAGCGCCACAAAACGACCCAAGTCCAGAGCCCAGTTCGCTCTGCAGAGGGGGGGGGGGGCGCACGTTATTTCCGACGTTATTTCCAACGTTTTTCGGTACACAGGGACAGGGGGGTATAGAAAACTCCAATTCTGGAGCCCCGACAGCCCAAGACAGTCCAAGAGGAAGCCAAGAGAGGACCAAGAGGCCCGAATCGCCGAAACATCGCTCGAACCGCCCATGATGCCCCGAAGACAATTCCAGAAACCTCCACGACGTCCCCAAGATCCCTCACGAAACTTCCCCAGAATGCCCAAAGACTGACAAATCCGCCGATCCGGCGTGTGAGTTTCTGACAGCGTGGACTTGAGCTCGCTCAAGCTTCGCTCTGCCGGGGGGGGGGGGGAGCACGTTATTTCCGACGTCATTTCCGACGTTTTTCGGTACACGGGGATATTTCCGACGTCATGTCCGACGTTTTTCGGTACCCTGGGACAGGGGGGTATAGAAAACTCCACTTCCGGAGCCCCCCCGGATCGGCGGCACTGGCTGGAGGCCAGCCCAATAAATATATCTATACACACACATACACTGCAAACTTCTCGGCGCGGACGTCGACCCTCTCGGGGGCGACGCGCTCGTTTTGTGTCGGCGGCTACGGCTAGGCAGAGAGTGACTGCGCTGGCGATGAGGGGCTCAAACGGGGATGCCGTTGGAGCGACTTGTGCCACCATGCAAGAGGAGGGAGGGAGGGAGGAAGGACGCGGCCGAAGGAAAACAAGGACGGGCGAGGGCGACGCACACACTGAGCATCGTTTAACCGATCCCCATCCCCAGCGGCGTGGCCTGGGCCCCACTGGCCGATTTACCCCCCCAGATGGGGCTATAGGCGTATCCTTCGGGTTTCGCTGGGTGCATCCCCAACCGGGGGGGTCATCTGGTGGGGGTCTCGACGGGGATGAAGATGGGGATGGGGATTGGTGAAACGACACTGACACAAAGCATCGGTGTGTGCTGGGTGGCGCCGACACCACACCGCTGACTACCTACCAGACCACCCCAACCCAACCCGAAGATCCGAATTTGACCCGAATTTCGGGTGGGGGGGAGTAAGGGTTCCATGTGTTTTCTCGATGTTCCCCGACCCCCCCACACTGGAAATCGAGGGCAAATTTGGGCCTTCGGGTTGGGTTGGGGTGGTGTAGCGGCTGGTGAACCGCAGGCAGTTTTGCAGCGCGTCCGCGGAGGGCCCAGCAGGTCGCGGGCCGCGGCGGCCGACCCGGGGCTGGACTTTGGCCCCGCGGGCGGGCCCGCACGGCAGCCCACGGGCGCCCCCTCCCCCCTCGGAGGGCACCGGCCGGTGCACCCGCACCGAGCCTGGCCCCGCAGGCCGATCCTGCGCCCGGGGTCGGTGTCTGGGCCCTCCTCCTCCTCCTCCTCCTCCTCCTCCTCCTCCTCCTCCTCCTCCTCCTTCTCCTGCTCCTCCTCCTCCTCCTCCTCCTCCTCCTCCTCCTCCCTCCTCCTCCTCCTCCTCCTCCTCCTCCTCCTCCTCCTCCTCCTCCTCCTCCTCCTCCTCCTCCTCCCGCCTCCGCCCCCTCCTCCGCCTCCCTCCGCCTCCGCCCCCCGCCTCCTCTCCTCCTCCTCCTCCTCCTCCTCCTCCTCTCCTCCTCCTCCGCCGCCTCCGCCTCCGCCTCCGCCCCGCCTCCGCCTCCGCCTCCCTCCTCCTCCTCCTCCTCCTCCTCCTCCTCCTCTCCTCCTCCTCCTCCTCCTCCTCCTGCTCCTCCTCCTGCCGTCCTCCTCCTCCTCCTCCTCCTCCTCCGCTCCCCCTCCTCCTCCTCCTCCTCCTCCTCCTCCCTCCCCTCCTCCTCCTCCTCCTCCTCCTCCTCCTCCTCCCTCCTCCATCTCCTCCTCCTCCTCCTCCTCCTCCTCCTCCTCCTCCTCCTCCTCCTCCTCCTCCTCCTCCTCCTCCTCCTCCTCCTCCTCCTCCTCCTCCTCCTCCTCCTCCTCCTCGCCAGGGTGCACACGAAGCGATCCCGGGCCCCAGGATCGGTGGCGAGCGAGGGGGGGAAGCGAGAAGGAGGGGGCCTTCTCAGAAGGCTCGGAAGTCCCCCGGCCTTCGGGGAAGTCTTCTGAGCCTTCTCCCCGAAGACACAAAAAACCTCTCGGAAGGCGCGAGGGCTTCTGAGAAGTCCCGCCCCCTTCCGAGAAGGCCTTCTCCTTCGCGCTTCCCCCCGAGTCTGGCCCCGGAGGCGAGGCCTCGACCGTGGTGACCCTGGGCCGTCTTGCCTTCGGCCAGGCGCAAGAGTGACCCTGGGTAAGAGTGACCTTTGGTGCGCAGCTTTTGGGGGGCGCGAGGGAGCCACACCCAAGGGCGCGGGCCGCTTACATCGCATCGCGCTCGGCGATCGGGAGGAGCCCGACGAGCCCGCACCAGAGGTCACTCCGGCGGAAGGTCGCTCTTACGTGTAGTCGATGCCTGTGCTCACCCTCCTTTGGCCCCGCCCCGGTTTGATGTCTGGTCCCTGGGGGGCACCTTCTACAGCAGAGGAGGTTGTCGTGTGCAGCTGGCGCTCACCTCCTGTCGGGCCTGCCTCAGGCCGCGGGTGGTCTCTGCCCCCGCTCTGTCTGCGCCTGCTGCACGGTGCATTTTGCTCACAACATCTCCCACAGCTGTTGTTGATAAGTCGCCCTGGTGGCTATTGTCGTGAGGCCGTCGAGGTCAAAAGATTAGCCTGACGAAAGACCCCACCATATGCAGCTGCGAGAACCCCGATGGATTTGAGACGAAGGAGGAGGGCACGCAAACCCCGAGTAGCGCCTGCGGTATACCCTCTGCTCTCATAGGCAGCGTGCCGTAGGAAGAACAACGAGGCGCGTGGCAGTGCGAGCAGGGGGGGGGCGAATGGTTGGGACGTATGCTAATTTTCGGTGGAGCTCCCAATGGGGGCCGCGAAACGCTGTACTGAGTGCGGCGGTGGAGCTCCCTATGGGGCCACGAAATGCCGTACGAGGTGAGGCGGACGCATGCGGGCACCCCCACTGGGACCTTCGGTGGAGCTCCCTATGGGGCCACGAAACGCTGTACTGGGTGTGGCGGACGCATGCAGGCACCCCCACTGGGGCCTTCGGTGGAGCTCCCTATGGGGCCACGAAACGTGCGAGGGGTGTGCCAGAGTGAGGGGGGTGACGGGAGGAGGGTGGAAGGAGGGGAGGGGGGGGCAGCGGGAGGAGGAGGAGGAGGAGGTGAACGCGGGGACCGTCTCTTCAAAACGAGGACCCAACACCTCAGGACGGTTGGGAAAAACTTCTCACCTCCCCCCTCGCTCGCCGCGGACAGGAGGAGCCCGGCCAGGATCGGTGCAGGCGCATGGCTGGCGCCCACCGAGACCGCCTCGTCGGCCGCGCGCGCTGCGCAGGGCCTCTCCACGAGGCCGGGCGCCCGGGAGCACGAGGGCCCAGGGCTGCTGGGGGTTGCAAGACGAAGCCAGGACCAGGACAAGATCGGACCAGGACAACTCCGGGCGCGGCCTAACCGACCCCGAGCATGAGAAAGTCCAGGGCCCGCCAGGGACTGGCTTCCTTTCAGAGCAGCCGAAACCCGAGATCTGGGGAAATATCATGGCCCATGCCATGGTATCCACCTCCCCCTAGTCATCACCTTCCTCTTGGCCGCCCCGGACCGTTCCCGAGCGCTCCGCCCTGGAGCGCTTCATCACGGTCACGGCTCCGCCCCCCTGAGATCCGGGCGCTGCAAATGTTTCACGCCGGGCGTCCTCGCCGGCTTTCGGGCCCCAGGGCCATCACAGATCGATCTGGCTCGAAAAATCCCGCAGAAAGATTGGGTCTGGGGCTCAGGACGTGGTTTTTCGCGATGCTGCAATCTTTGTCGCAGCGTCGAACCTCAGGGCCGAAGATCAACATTTCTTTCTGAAATGAGCGACGGGAAGAGACGGATCCCACGCGAGATGGCAGAGCGACCTTACGCGGCGGCTTACGCGGGCCGCCAGCGCTTAGTGGGCCCTGGAAACACGGCAGGGCCGTTTTTCACCGCTTTCAAAAAATGTCTCTTAAACAGCAACCGGAAACTGCCAAAAAATGGCTCCAGAATTGGAACTGGAGACATATTTTCTATATATATATATATATATATATATATATATATATATAGGTGTAGTTGTAGATATAGATATAGATATAGGTATAGATATGTATACATTTATATAGAAACAGATATAGAAATAGATGTTGATATATGTATATATATATGTAGATATAGATATAGATATAGATATCAATATAGACATACATATATATATATATGTATATATATATATAGGTATAGATATAGATATATACATGTATATATATATATATATATATATATATGTAGATCTAGATATCGATATAGATAGGTGTGTACACATATGTAGATAATTAGATGCGACGGAACCGGAAAAAAATGAAAAACACAACGGGCAAAAAACGGCCGTCGTTCCCATGGCCCTTTTAGCGCCAGCGCGGCACGCCAGTGGAAGCGAGGGCGCTTACTCTCGCGACCTTACTGCGAGGCGGGGATTTATCCATATCCACCGCCTGGGAACCGACGTCCTGGTGCCCCAGCGGGCGGTGGATGTGGAAATATTTCGGCCCCAGGCGGGCCCGAATATGTCCATATCCACCGCCTGCCGAGGCTCCGAAAACTGGCCCTCCAGGCGGTGGTCATGTGTAAACTCCCGCCTCGGACTTACGCCGCGGGCAGCGCACGCGCCAGCTTCGGTGAAGGCGAGCGCCCGTGTTGCTTCGTCGCCCTCGATGGAATACCCGGGACGCGTGCGGGCCAAGACTCCCAGGCGAACCTTCGAGTAGGGGATCGACTACAGCATCGAGTTACCCCAGCATCGACATTTTTGTTGTTTATTCGCGGGTCGGGAGCGCACCTCTTCCGGTCGAAGCTCAGCGGGCCGCGCGAAGCTTAAATTGACAAAGAGGGGGGACAGAGGGAGAGGCCTCACGTCAAGGCCAGAAGGAGGCCTCACGTCAAGGCCAGAATCGACATGTTCGTCGCGTCTCAACACAGAGTGCGTGGGGTGCCCCGCAGATCTGCGAGACATCCTTCGCGACCATAGACGCGGGCAGCCCACGCGCCAGCGTCGGCGATAAGACGAGCCCGCCCTCCCTCGTCGCTCTCGAGAATAGATCTATCTATCTATATATATGTATGTATCTATATACATACACATATAGATGTACACGTGTGTGTATACATATATATGTATATAATACGTGTGCATATATATATATATAGAGAGAGACATGTGCATGTGTATATATATGTACATATGTGTAAACATGTACATCTATATAGATGCACATATGTGTGTAATCGTGTCTATATGTACACCCATCTATCTATCTATATATATATATATATATATGTGTATATATATATATACATAAGTGTATGTCTACCCGGGGCGCGGGTGCGGGCCAGGAGATTCCCAGGCGAACCTGGCCGCGGCGACGGGGGCCTGCTCCTGGGCAGGCCCAGGGCGGGCGAGACAGAGGGCCCAGCCACAGGAGGACCCCTCCTGAAGGGGCCCTGGGACACACAAATAAATGAGAGAGCGTGATCGACCGCCGCTTTACTGTGGAAAATTGCCAGCCTTTTCCTCCGGAACCCGGGGGTCCCCCCCCCCTCGAAAATCCCCCCCCTCTGGAAACCCCCCCCCTCCCCCCCCCCCTCCCCCGGCAAAACCCCCCCCTCCCCTAAACCCCTCCCCCCCCCCCCCCCCCCCTCTCGAAAAACCGGGGGGGTCCACTACGGGTTCGAACCCCTTCCCCCCCCCCCCCTTCCGGATCTGGAAAACCGGGGGGGGTTCACTACCGGTTCGAAACCCCTCCCCCTCCCCCCCCCCCTCCGGATCTGGAAAACCAGGGGGGGTCACTACCGGTTCGACCCCCCCCCCCCCCGAAAACCGAGGACGGTCACTACCGGTTCGACCCCCCTCCCCCCACGCACCGCCAGCAAACGACTCCCGGTCCCTACCACCGTCCGCATCACATCCCCCACTGTTGTTCCCAGCACCACTGTCCTCACCACCACTGTCCCCACTGGTTCCACCACCGTCCCTACTGTCCCCACCAGTGCCCCCACCACTGTCGCACTGTCCCCACTGTCCCCACCACTGTTCCCACCACGGTTCCACTCTCCCCACTGTCTCCACGGCCCCAACCACTGCCCGACTATCCCCACTGTCCCCACTGTCCCACTGACTCCTCCGCTGTCCCACTGAGCTGTCCCACTGTTCCCACCACTGTCCCCACTGTCCCCACCACTGTCCCCACTGTACCTCTGTCCCATTGTCCCACCGCCGTCCTCGCCACCGCCTTCACCACTGTCCCCACCACCATTGTACCCTCCACTGTCCCACTGTTTCCACCTCATTCCCACTGTCCCCACACCACTGTCCCCACCACCACCGTCCCCACCACTGTCCACTGTCCCCCCCTGTTCCCACCATTGTCCCCACCACTGTCCCCACCACTACCGTCCCCACCACTGTCCCACTGTCCCACTGTCCCCACCACTGTCCCGCTGTCCCCTCACCACTGTCCCCACCAACACCGTCCCCACCACTGTCCACACCCCCACTCGGTTTTCGAGGGGGGGGGTGTTCGAACCGGTAGTGACCCCCCCCCGGTTTTCGAGGGGGGGGGGTTCGAACCGGTAGTGACCCCCCCCCTTTTCATGATGAACTGGGGGGGGGGGGAGAGGGGTTCGAACCGGTAGTGATCCCCCCCCGGTTTTCCAGAGGGGGGGGGGGGGAGGGGTTCGAACCGGTAGTGACCCCCCCCGGTTTTCCGCCAGCAGCGGTAGAACACGCTCTTTCAGATAAATAATCACAAATAACAGGATTCCCCATATTTTCATGTATTTCCTGAGTTTTTTGTCTTCCCCCCCCACTTCCCATAGTCTCCCATATTTTCTGGGCGGGATCGACGATGAATTGTGTCTGTGTGTTTTGTTTTTTCCCCTCCTGACCCCTAACCCTCTAGGAGGGGAGCCAAATCAGGAGGGCCAAGAACATCCGGGACAGAGGGGGTCTGTCTGCAGAGGTATCAGACCAAAACGCCCAAATGTTCTATCCCTCATGCGAAGACGGAAACCTTCCGCAAGAAATTCAATCCTGAGCCCCCCCGGGATGCATTGATTTCTGGTGTGGGATAGTCACGCCTTCCATCGCAAAGCCATCGAAGCCCTGGAAAAACCCAGGAGGGCACCCTGGAGGCAAGCAGGATGTTTCGTGGCATGGGCTCGCAATGTACTGGAATTGGTACGGCGGGATCGTGCCATGCCGACTTCAGCGTTGGCTTCTGCCACCGATGGGATCGTTCGACCTGGAAAAATCGGCCGTTTCCGAAACGTCGGATTGTTCAACGTCGACCAACTCTGGGTCGCCAGGCAGCGTTCAACGCTGAACGCCTGCGGCCGGGGTCGCCGCCAGCCGCTCTTCTCCTCTGAGGGGAGCGGCCTTTTTGAGTGCTCCCTTACGTTGTATCTTCGGGGGACCTTCTTTGTCCAATCGCGCCAACTTTCCGTGTCGACCCCCCCGTCGAATCCATGTCGAACAAGCCACATCTGCGTTGAATCGACGTCGAATCCACGTCGGATCCGTGTCGAATCCGCGTCGGGCCCGCGGCGGGTGCAAGAAAAGACAGGAACTAGCAGGACAGACAAGACCCCCCGAAGATGCAACGCAAGCATGGGGAACGAACAATCAGATAAACTCAAAAATTCGAAGGTCCGCGCGGATTTCTCGGATCGGCGCTGGACCCCCCTCACTGGCGCGATCCGCGCGCCAGGGGCGGCGCTGGGCGCTGGAGGCGCCGGCGGGGGGGGTCCAGCGCGGATCCGTGAAACCCGCGCGGACCTCCGAGCTTTTGTCGGCGTCACCCCAACATACTTATACTATGTGTGCGTCGCCCCCCCAGGGGCGACGCGCGCACCGAGGAATCTTACAGCATATGCGTCATGGCGGGCGCTTTCTGACCACACCGCTCGGGAAACGATATACTACAAGATGGGTATACTACATGTTCGGGTCGGACGCGCGCCTCCAAGGAGGACATCTAGTATTAGTGTGTCTCTGTGCGTCCCATGTTACGTTCATGCCCTCCTAAAGGGGCCCTGGGACACACAAATAAATACATACAAATAACAGGACTCACCACATTTTCCTATATTTTCTGTGTAATTGTCTTCCCCCCCATTTCCCATATTTTGCCGTATCTTCGGGGGGGATCGACGATTATTTGTGTCTGTGTGTTTTTTCTCCTCCTGACCCATGTTATGTTCGTGCCCTCCTTCGCTGCCCCTACAAAAGCTCCCCTCGCCCTCTGAGAAGCGGCGGGCGCCTCTCGGAAGGCTGGCGCCCCCCAGCCCCTGGACGCTGCGGCTCCCGCACGGAAGTCCGGGGGCCTCCCGGCCTCCCCGACACTGCGGGGCACGTCTTCCTAACACTACGAAGGGGTCGGGCCTGTCCCTCTACAGGGGGATTTTCGACGAAAAATATTTTAAAAAATCCACACAAAAAAAAAACAAAAGGGTCAAAAAAAATCAAAAAATAGTCCCCAGACTATTTTTGGACTATTTTTGAAGATTCCCCCTGTAGAGGGACAGGCCCGACTTAACACTGCGATGAAGTCGGGCCCGTCCCTCTACAGGAGGAAGATTCGAGAAGAGTCAAAAAAAAACAATCTGGGGACGATCTCCCTACCATTTTTCGGCATGTCTGAAAAATGCGTGTCGCTTTTTCTCATGTTTCGTCCAACCCTGAGATCCGACGTCTCGAAGAAATTGAAGCATCATGAACAATCACGACCAGAGCCCTAGACCCCAACTTTCTGCGCCATATTTCGAGCCGGATCGATCTGTGAGGGTCCTGGGGCCCGAAATTAGTCGAGAACGCCCCGCTCGAAAAAATTGCGACGCCAGGGTCTCAAGGAAAATCTGCGTGTAGGAGGACATGCCCGACCTAACACTGCGAGATAGGAAAAGGCGCAGGTCAATGCCGGCCTGCGCGGACGGAGTACATCCCAGGAGGGACGACAAGAAGCGGTGCGCAAAAAGGGCGATGGAATAAATCCTCCTCCTCCTCCTCCTCCTCCCCTCCTCCCCCTCCTCCTCCCTCTCCTCTCCTCCTCCTCCTCCTCATCCTCCTTCCTCCTCCTCCCTCTCCTCCTCCTCCTCTCCTCCTCCTCCATGCATATGGCGGCGCGCACAGGGGGGTAGGGGGAGGGGGGAAGGCTTCTTAGAAGGAGGCTGTTTCTTACAAGTCGCCGGCCCTGCATCTACGGACAAGGCCCGCGCCTTCTGAGAAGCAGGGGTGATTCTAAGAAGCCTTCCCCCTCCCCCATACCCATACCCCCCTCTGCGCGTGGCCGAATCAACTGCATGCAGCCGCATACCCTGGCGACTGGAGGCGCCAGGAGCGACACTATAGGCATCCAGAAATGCCCACCGCGGCGGGGCCGAACTCGGACGCGTGCAGCAAATGCTGTAATCCACGCTCTCCCACACACACACAGACACACACACACACACACAGACACACACACACACACACACACATACACACACATACACTCATAGACACACACACACACACTCACATACACACATAGACACACACGCACACACACACACACATGCACACACACGCACACACACACACACACACACACGCACGCACACACACACACACACACAGACACACACACACACACACACACACATAGACACACACACACACGCACACCCCTCTTCGACCTCCTCGAGCCAGGCAGGTGCAGCGAGAAGAGTCGACGAGTTCGCCTGGCTTCGTGATTGCGGCTCCTGACACGGCGTCCTCGTGCATCGGCGTCACGCGTGCACGGCCGCGTCAGCGGAACAGGCCGCCGGCAAGATTCTTCACGTTGTCGAAATGTTCTTTCGCCGCGTCGTGCACATCCCCAGCAGCATCCATAGCATTGCTCAAATGTTCCCCTGCTGCATCTTGGATATCGCTGGCAGCGTCTAGGGTAGCATCTGCAGCGTTGCTGAGATGAGGCGTCGCTGCTTGATGGAGATCGCCGACAATGTTCCCAGCCGCGTCCATGGCGTTGTCCAGGTGAGGCTTCGCCGCCTCGTGGAGACTACCGTCCATCACCGCCTGGTGCGCATCCACCAGCGTGTCCTGCGCCTTCTGCGCAGCAGCCTCCGCGGCGCTCTGTGCAGCATCCGCTGCGGCCTTTTTTGCTGCTTCGCCAGCTGCGTTCAGGGCCTTTCCAGCGGCATCCTGAGCCAGGCCTCCAACTGTGCTGATAGCATGTTGTACATGCGGCGTTGCTGCTTCGACTGCATTTTTTACATGAGGCGCTGCTGCTTCTTGCAGTGCACCAGCTGCGTCTACAGCAGCATCTGCAGCACTGTCTAAATGAGGCGCCGCCGCCTGATGGAGATCCCCTGCCATGTCCGCGGCGGCGCCCATTGCGTTGTCCACATGAGCACTCGCTGCTTGGTTGAGATTGCCTGCCGCAGCCGCCTGATGGAGATCCCCTGCCATGTCCAGGGCGGCGCCAGCCGCGTCTGAAGCAGCACCTGCAGCATTGCCAAGATGAGGCGCCACCGCCTGATGGAGATCCCCTGCCATGCCCACAGCGGCGCCAGCCGCGTCTGAAGCAGCACCTGCAGCATTGCCAAGATGAGGCGCCGCCGCCTGATGGAGATCCCCTGCCATGCCCACAGCGGCGCCGGCGACGTCTGAAGCAGCACCTGCAGCATTGCCAAGATGAGGCGCCACCGCCTGATGGAGATCCCCTGCCATGCCCACAGCGGCGCCGGCGACGTCTGAAGCGGCACCTGCAGCATTGTTAAGATGCGGCGACGCCGCCTGATGCAGCTGCCCTGCCATGTCCAGGGCGGCGCCAGCCGCGTCTGAAACAGCAGTTGCAGCATTCTCAAGATGAGGCGTCGCCGCCAGCTGAAGATCGCCAACAGCACCCGCAGGGGCGCCGATCGCACCCTGCTGGACGTTCCCTGTGGCATCCAGCGCAGCGCCCTCAGCGCCAATGACTTGGGGCCCCGCCGCACCATAGACGCCGCCCCCTGGAGTCGCGGCGACGTCCGCGGCACCTCCCGCGGGACTCCCAGCGGCCTCGGCGCCCGTCGCGACCGAAGGCTGGCCCGGCGCCGCCTGCGCGGCCAGCGCCGTCTGCCCCCCAGGCTGCCACACGTCCTCTGGCACGCTCTCCTCGCCCGGCGCGGTGCAGCCGACGTCGTCGAGGGCGCAGCCGTAGCAGCTCCTGCACTGCCGCAGCACGGCGGCGAGGGCGCTGGAGCAGCCAGCACCGTCCGCGGCCTGCCGCAGCGCGTGCTCCGCGCACGTGCCGTTGGCCCCCTGCAGCACGCAGCGGGCCGCGCAGCCGGCCTCCTCGTCCGCCTGCACGGCTGGGGGCTCGACTTCCCGGAACTGCGCCGCCTCCGCCCTCTCCGAGCCCGCGGCCGGCTGCCGCTCCGGCAGGCACAGCCGCCAGCCCGGCCTGGCCACGCTGAAGTCGGAGCTCCACCGGAGCCCAGCCGGCACCACGCCGCTAGGCCCATGGTCGCCCCAGAAGGGCACCCCGTTCACGTGGAGCCGGTCGAACCACGCCTCCGTGGAGAAGGCGTCGACGCGGATGGCGCCGGGCGCCCCGCCGACGGCCGCGATGCAAAGCTGGCCGTCGCCGTAGGCCTGTGGGTAGTTGGGGCTGAGCAGGCAGCACTCTTCGTCCACGCGGCAGGGCCCAGCCACGTCCCTCCAGCCCAGCCCGCAGGGGGCGGACACCGATGGGGCAGTGGTCGGCGAGGTGGCCGACAGCAGCTCCCCCTTTCGAGAGGAGACCCCCCAAAAAAACGGCGCACAAGCGCAGATGTTCGGAGCTCCGCGCGGAACTCGTGGGTCGGCGCTGGACCCTTTCCACACACAGACACGGAGCGGGGCCCAGCGCCGACCCCAGAAATCCCTGGAGGACCTCCAAGCGTTGTAGCCGGGCCGTGGTTTGGAACTCTCCCTGGGCGCCTTCACAAACAGCAGCGAGTCCGGAGACCCATCCGCTGGGCTCCTGACCTTGACCACGTGCTTGCTGGCATGGGATTTCAGTCGGTCCACCAGCTCCTGAGGCGTCAGCTCCGGCTGCACTGAGAGCATGAGTGCCACCGCGCCCGCCACGTGCGGCGCGGCCATCGACGTTCCGGTCTTCGTCGCCTCAGCGCTGTCGCCCGTGATGCCAGCGGACACGATTGCTGAGCCGGGCGCCATGATATCCACGCACGGGCCGGAGTTGCTATAGGATGCCTCGCGGTCCTGGGTGTCGGTCGCCCCCACCGTGATCGCGGCGCCCACGCGCGCTGGGGAGTAGTTACACGCGTCGGGCTCGGAGGACTGGCCGTTGTTGCCGGCGGCCACAACAAAGGTGACACCGGCCTGCACCGCCGCGTCGATGGCGTCCGTGACGAAATTGATCGTCCCCTTGCCCGAGAGGCTGGCGCTCATGACCGCGGGCCGCTGCCCGTTCTTGATAATCCAGTTTACCGCTGACACGAGGTAGCTAAACTGGCCATTGCCCTCGTCGTCCAGGACCTTGACGGCGTGCAGCGTGACCGCCTTGGCCACCCCGTAGAGCTGCCCAGCGATCGTGCCTGCGGTGAAGGTGCCGTGGCCGTCCCGGTCCGTGGCGCACTCCGTGTCGGCGGGATCGCATACCTTCAGCGTGTTACCGACCGTCTCAAGCGTCGGAATCGCTCTTCCCGCGAAGTCGTTGTGGGTGGTGCGGATGCCCGTATCCAAGACGTAGACGTGCACGGACGGGACCGACACAATGTCTGGCGCGTACTCCTGGTTGAGGCCCAGCTCTGCGTCGATGCGGTCCGTGCCCCAGGACGGTGGGTTCGATTGGCTGCCGTCTGGGCCGAACTCCTCCTTCCGCACCCCCGGGTCGTGATCGGGCTTGTTGTCGGGGTCGTCGACGATCGGGATGCTCGAACACCCGCTATCCTGCTCGACGTAGAGGACGAAGCCTGGGGGCGCCTTCGAGAGGACCCCCTCGATCCACGACAGCGTGCTGTGGACCACCACGATGGACAAGGCCAAATTTGAGGGCGTCCCAATCCAAACCACCCGCTCGTGCTCCCCGTACTTGTCGATGAACCCGGCCAGCTGGTCGTCGTCCCAGTCCTGCGGCAGTCGCACGATCCAGTTCTGCTCCTCCTCCTCCTCCTCCTCCTCCACGCCCTCGCTGGCGTACGTACCCTCGTCCACGTACAGCGGCTCCCCGTTCACCACGTCCTTCACGAACGGGTTCCGCGAACGGCCGCTCTCCTGGAGGCCTCCCAGATGGGGTCCGAGTCGGTGGGGTCGGAGGATCGCGCCGCATCGCCGACGTGCGCGATGCATCGGCGGCGTCGGCGTGTGGAAAATCAGGCCACACATCGAGCCGCGTCGGCGGTGCATCCATCGGCGATGCATCGGCGATGCGGCGTGGTCCTCCGACACCACCCGCTCGGAGCCCACTTGGGGAGGGCGCGGCTCTCTCCGACAGCCCGAGCAGCCCTCCCGGCCCCGCGCCGCCGCCGCGGCCGTGCAGGTAAACGGGCACCCCGCGCACGCGCCGCTCGAGCGGCCCCTAGTCGGCGACTCCGAAGGGTGCGGCTTGCAGAGGGTGCAGTTCGCAACCCCCGCCAGAGGGGTGCGGGAGAGGCCCTCGGCAGAGACGTCCACCGCGCCCCGACGAGGGCTCGTCAACCCTCTGGCGCACTGTGACGACACCCCGAAGCCACACGTCGCCTACACGCAAGAGCGATCCTGTGCAAGAGCGCCCCACTGGCGCGCGGCCCTCGGGGGCCGCGTGGGAGGGCCCAGGTCCACGAGCGCAAGCCTATGTACTGGGGGGACCCCTGTGGGCCCGAACCCACAGGTCACTTCGGCGAAGGGTTATTTAAACTGGTATAGAGGAACAGAAAAAAAACTGCAAAAACATGAACTCTCGACGGTCCGCGCGGATGTCTTGGATCTGCGCTGGACCTCCCCCACCCTCTCCCTGAGAGGGAGCCCGGCGCAGATCCAAGAAATCCGCGCGGAACTCCACAAGTTTGTGTGCTTGCGTCACTGCATCTTCTCCGAACACAGTCGCCAACGGCGCCGCTCGCAAGCCACACTCCAGCTTCGGTGGCAACTCATGGGATCCTCCCATACCATCTTGTCGGCTCTTGCGGATCGACGCGAATCGACACTAATCAACGCCAAATCGACGCTAATCGACGCTAGCCGACGCTACATCGGCGCTATCTCCTCGACTCCCAGACGCTAATCGACGCTAACCGACGCTAAAGCAAGAATTAAGAGGGTATACATGGACGCGAATCGACGCGAATCGACGCTAATCGACGCTAATCGACGCTAGTCGACGCTAAAGAAGGACGCTCCCATGGTTGATATGCTACCGAACCCGGCGCAGCCACACCCACTGCGGTCGCCGACCATCGGGCCTTCGGGGAGCCTGGCGGGCGCGCCGCCTCGGAGGCGCCGCCGCTCCGAGCGGCGAGCCACCGCGGCCCGACGGCGGCTGCGAGCAGCAGCGCCAGGCAGAGCCCCAGCGCGCCGAGCGGCGCCCCGAGCCGCCGCAGCCGCCGCCAGCGAACCCCGCCGGCGGCGGCCTCCGGGGGCCCACGAGGAGCCTCGGGGGGTGGGGAGGAGGAGGAGGAGGAGGAGGAGGAGGAGGAGGAGAAGAAGAGGAGGAGCAGGAGCAGGAGGAGAAGAAGGAGGAGGAGGAGGAGGAT